GCTCGCGACGATCCCAGCTGGAGGCCACAGGAGGGGAGACTTGTCCGGATCCTGCCCGGAGGGCCCCCGCCCCACCCCCTGGATTCGGTCCGGGGCAGGTCCACCTCAGGCCCGGCAAGCCACCCAGGGGTCGAGCAAGAGTAAACTACTACTTACTTAGCAGGGCAGCCAATGAGAGCGGATGGAGGGAGGGTGGGGGAGGGGGAAGGAAAATGACCAGAACAATTTCCGGGTCATCCGGAAGTGACCCGGGGCGGGCCGGTCGTCATGGTAGCGGTCGGACGCACGGCTCGGCGGAGGGAAGATGGCGGTGACAGGCTGCCTCCGCGCTCGCGCCTCGGGAAGGGCCTCAGCGCCTGGGGCGCAGAGCCGCAAGCGTCGCGGCCACCACCCGAGCCAGGTCCTGCATTTGCAGATGCGGAAACTGAGGCCCAGAGAGGTGACGTAACTGGAACACGCATCTCTGGACACCCCCTGGTGGCCTGTAGACCACCTCGCTCCGCTCGGAGTGGTGTTACTAATAAATAACACATAATTCCTTTCACATTCATGATGGCATTTGCTCCGCACCGCTGTCCGGAAAGGCTGTTAATTTTTCACCCCATTTTACAGAAGAGGAAACGATCCAAGAAGGTTTTAGACTAGTCCCAGATCCCCAACCAGACGGTACAACTGACCCGGGATCCCATGAACCTCAGTCTTGGGGTTCTATTGCTGAAGGCAGCCTGGTGCCTGGGAAGGGCGGGAGACCTGGGTTCTAGTTACGATTCTGCCGTTAAATCACCGGGCTCTCTAGTTGTTCTCTGTACTTGTCTGGACCTCAATTTCCTCATCGGTAAAATGAGCTGGATGGGCTCCCTCTTATCTCTGAGGTGCTTTCCAGTTGTAAAGTTGTTTGTAAGTGAACCTCTAAATGTTCCTTGAGTCTTTAGGGGAGACAGCAAGGGCCTGGGGCTGTTCCGGGAAGAGATGGGCACAGGTGTATGGAATCCTGACTTCCACTCTAGGATTGGCCAGTGCAGGCCCTCCTTGAACTTCAAGGTCCCTTCCTGGACCCACTTGGTAGCCAGAATGAATTAGGTCTAAATTTCTGTAGCTTTTAGGTTACCAACTGGGGACTCACAGCCACAGGCAGAGGCCAATCAGGGAAGCATGGAAATTAAAATCAGCTGCTCATTTGCTTGTTATAAACACGGCATTTAGGGAGGCTTTACTGTGTGCCAAGGTGTGTCCTGCGAGCAGATAGAAAAAGACAACATCGAGCCCACCACCCGGGCATGTGCCCTGACCAGGAATCGAACCAGTGACCTCTTGCCACACCACTCACAGATATTTTTTAATAAAATATCATATCAATATACTTAAAAAATTTTATATCAACATACATATATACATACCTATATAATTTCATTCTGTGTTAGAATGAAGTATAAATAAATATTTAAAAAACCTTTGGGTAAAGAAGGATATTCTAAGTACAACTTATGAGTAGTAACCACAAAGGAAAAATAGTTGACTGTATAACAATTAAGCACTTTTGTTTGGGGAAATTCACTTTAAACAAAGTTAAAAGGCAATTGAAACAATATTTGCAGCCTGTATGACACGTGGCTAATATATATGGCACATGGTTAATATTTACAAAGCTCAATTAGATTAGTAAGAAAAAGATGAGTACCTAAGTAAAATAGGCTAAGGCCTAAACAGGTAATTCACTAGAAAATGACCAGCAAACCCATGGAATGGTGTCAACCTTAAAAATATCTGAAGCCATACAAATTATCCTAGGATGGTTATTAGAGCATGGACTTAGGCTTCAAGTGTGTTTAAGCCTGGACCCATCATGTCCTAGCTTTATGACCTTGGACAAGTTGTATGACCTTTAAGCCTCAATTTTTCTCATTTGTGAAATACAGGTAATGGGGGCCCATAGGATTATTAAATGATAATTAAATGCAAACAAAAAACAAAGTAGCTGGCCAGTACTAAGCACTGCATCCTGCCTGGACTGAAGATTGGACTCCAGGCCAGACACCCTCAGCTACTCACAGGCAACACCTTGTATCACTCCTAACAGAAAAACTCCTTCCAGCTCTCTGAGCCATCTAAATGATTACGGATGGTGTGACCTAGGGGCCTGCTGAAAGACATGCAAATTTGGGGGGTGAGTTTCCCCAGAATATATCATATTAGGAACAACTCTAAAGAACAATGTCCCAGAGGAGTAAATTGAACAGGAAAAAAGGCTTGGTAGATAGGCTACAATTGCAAATTTTGGCTAATACTTTGGTTAAGGGCCTTGGGGCTCTTATTCATCAAATGTATGTTGGACCTGCCTACTGGGCATTAGTCCTCTGAGGAGCCTACTAGTCTCACTGAGGAGCCTACCCATATCCACTTACCAATCTGTAAATATAGGGGAAAGGCAGAGCCACTTTTACAAAAATGCTATGATTACACCACATTGATGGAAGAGACAGGCTAGCACACTCCCTTGGGTTCTTTCATTCTTTCAATGAAAGATGAATCACTGTTCACCCATTCTTTCAATCAATATTGAGCTGAGCTCCTTCTATATGCCAGGTACTATGCTTGGTACTAGGGAAGCCATAGGCAGGGGGGATAAACCCATCTTATCTAGTAGAAGACACAGGCAGTAGTAATTCACACAGAGGTAAAATCATAACCAAGGTAAATGCTATGGAGAAAACACACGGGGCCCTACCTGGTTTGGCTCAGTGGATAGAGCATCGGCCTGCAGACTGAAGGGTCCCTGGTTTGATTCCAGTCAAGGGCACATGCCCGGGTTGCAGGCTTGATCTTCAGTAGGGGATGTGCAGGAGGCAGCCGATCAGTGATTCTCATCATTGATGTTTCTATCTTTCTCTCCCTCTCCTTTCCTCTCTGAAATCAATAAAAAAGTTTTGTTTTTTTTTTAAAAAAAGGAAACACATGGGGACTAACATTGTGTGGCTGTGTGATAGGAATGGCCTAGAGGTGTGCAGAAGGCAAAATGATGGCATGGTTAGAAGGAGTACTTAGTTGGGAAACCCACTTTAATATCCCGAGAATATAAGCTGGGTTTTAGAAACTGGGGAGAGAAAGATAAACATGATATCATTCCTGGGGAGGTAGAGGCTTTTAAACATATCATACCATATGGTAAATTCTCCACTAAGGATATAAATAAAGCATTAGAAAGGCACAAACAGGGAAGCAAATTTTGCCAAGGTGGCCGGGGTGATAGTTTAGGAAGACTTCCCAGTGGAAGTGATATTTGAGCTGGGTTTTGAAGAGCAAGGAGAAGCTTAACAGATGGAGAGACGTATGGAGCTATTGCTGGTAGAGGAACAGGAGAGCAAAGATAGATCGAGAGAAATCTTCAGAAAGGAAGAGAGTCCCAGGACATACTATCTTAAAGTAATGATGGGCGATGTTTGGCAATGAGTGGGAGGCCCTGGGAGGGCTTCTCAATAAGCCCAAGGCTGTGGTGTCTCCCAGGGAGACCCCTGATCTGTAAGGGGCAAGGCAAGGGGAGGCTTGGGAGTAAAGCACTCTCTGCTTCATGCTTAGGGAGAAGGAAGGTGCACTATTTGTTCCCAGACGGGAAGGAAATGGCCGAAGAATATGATGAGAAGACAAGTGAACTGCTTGGTAAGTGACAGGGTCTCCCAGCAGGCCCTTCGGGACACTTGGGATGACCTAAGCACACACCTCGCCTGAGGCTTGAGGGAGGAGCCCTGCACCAAATGTGGGAGCCAGGGGAGACCGAGGCCTTTGAAGCAAGATTGTCCCTGAGAAGAATCTGAGGTCAGGGCTGGACACCGGAGGTGGAGTGGGAGTTCGTTTGACCATTCAACCCAAAACAAATTAGAGAGTGAGTCGTTTTTCCAAGGTGGGAATGGGGATGTGGAGAATCTGTTGGGAAAAAACTTTAGAGAAGGTGCAACTGGAAGTGAACCTTGTAGGCTGAATAGTGGAAAGGGCACGTTTTCACTACAGTTTTTTGTGGGGTTTTTTTGTTTGTTTTTTGCTTGTTTTTTTGAAGCCACGCTAGAAACAAGCAAGTATCAGAGGCAGCAGCTTCTGACTTTGCCTCAGAGTTAGCACTATTAAATATGACAGTTATCTTGGAGAATGAATCAAAGGGATAGGGGGTAGAAATGGTAATTTGTAGCATTGTACCTTGTGTTTCTGCAGCTCTTTTCCTTTAAGAATAGGCTCGTGAATAGAGGCTCCAGCCTGGATTTCTGGGAATTATTTGATTTGTCCATTCATTGTTCCCAGATCTGTACATCAGCATTAACTCACTTCCCAGAGCTAGGTGGCTGGTTCTTTGACCCAGGGCCTGAGGCTGTCAGCAATGGGAGTTAGTCTCTTTATTAAGTTCTACCTGAACTGCTAAGACCAATGATGGAATCATGGACTGGGTTATTTTCTTGTCATTATTCTTGACTTTAATTTCTTCCTGGGACTGATCGACAGGTAGTATTGGTGAGGGAATTTCTTTTTCCCTTGTTCTGACAGCTCATAAATGTCCAGAACCGACAATACAGATTACACTGGTTTGCATTCTCTTAGTCTCCAGTCTTAAAATGTGTGTCCTGCGCATGTTCAGTCACAGAGTGAAGTGTTGATCTCTCCTTATTATGAGCTGCTTGGGCTCTAGTCCCAATTGGTTTAGTCTGGTGCTATTAAAAATCTTGATGTGTTTAGCATATGACACTGATTTGGTGGAAACCAATACAGTAGTAATATCCTCACAATGCATTGTAATTTATAGCACTCCCAGGGGGTGACAGCCTTGGAATGCCTAACGGGGCGAGCTTATGAAAGCAGAGGTCACGTGGGCTAACCACCACCATCACCAGGCCAGAGACTAGTTGCAGCTCCTCTCCCCCAGCCCCCAGCGTCACCCCTCTTCTCCATACAGAGCAAATCAAACAGCTATAGCTGCTGTGGCTGTAAAAACAAACAAACAAAAAAACCCAGGCCTTTTAGTTGTGCTTGCACATGAAATTAAAATGAAAAAAAAAAAAGTCCAGGTTTTTTCATTGGTAGCATCCTACATTAACCTGCCACTTCTCTTGGAAAGTAGAGGATAGACAGTGGCCTCCAAATTCCTTTTTCTTAAAAGTAGAAATGGAGGTTCATCAGAGAACATTGTTTGGCTAAAGTTTACCTAATAATGACATTAATACCATAACTTCTATTGGGTACCACGCTAAGTGCTTCGTGTGAATTATCTCGTGTAATCATCCCCATTACAGCCCAATGAGGTAGGCACCGTTGTCCTCATTATACAGTTAAAAAGGGGGTGGGGGAGTTGCAAGAGGTTAAGCACCTTGTTGAAAATCACGTAGCTGATTAACTTCTGAGCTAGGATTTAAACCAGGTCTGCCTGATTAAGAGCCAATGCTTTAGTTCTCAACAACATACTGTTGGGAGTGAGAATATTTAATCCTGTTTTGTTTTCTTCTTACTAAATTTTGCTCTCCTCAGAATAACCTGAGGAGGGGCTGGTGGGAACAGGACAGAGATGGGCAGAGAGAACCCCGGGCCCTATGAGCAGCTGATCCTTTACTTACCCATCTCTAACTACCCCCACCCCACCCTCACCCTCACCAGCTACCCTTGCAAAATACTGTTCATTGTTAACTTTAAAATATATATTTTTTTATTGATTTCAGAGAGGAAGGGAGAGGGAGAGAAAGAGATAGAAATATCAATGATGAGAATCATTGATCGGCTGCCTCCTGCACGCCCCCTACTGGGGATTGAGCCTGCAACCGGGCATGTGCCCTTGACCAGAATCAAACCTGGGACCCTTCAGTCTGCAGGCTGATGCTCTACCCACTGAGCCAGACCAGGGGGCTCATTATTAACTTTTAAATATAAATACTCCCAGGGCCTGAGCTGACTTTTACTTGTGCATTCTATGAAGTAGAATATGGACAGGGTTTTTGTGGCCGTAAATGGGAATAGTTTCCATTTTTCAAGCTAATTATATATATTTGATAATTGGCCAAAGTGGTTTCCTGTTAGAAAAACCCAGAAAGTAATTTACAGAGGAAGACTTGCCAATGGTGCATCCGTCTAGGACAGAGTTCTTCCAGTTGGTGTTAATAAGCATAGTAGTGTCATATTTTTTCTACCCTGTCCATGCTATTCATTCCTACCCCCACAGTGAATGCTGTATGTATTCATAGAGGAAAAAACTGAAGGGCCCCATAACAATGATCGGAACATCAAACCAGCCCCAGAAGAACACAGCATGTCCAGGGGGGCAGAGGCTGAAGGGCAGGCCGTCTCCCAACGATTACATTCGGATTACCGGCCTAATCTGCTTTGGTATTTGACCGCCAGCCGAACCACCCCAGGCTGCGGTTGGAGGATATTGAGCACTTTCATTCCCAAGCACTTCACCAGCTTTATAAATGACCCACTCGATTCCCTTCAGCCTCCTCGGGGATGGGACGTGGCAGCTGTTTAATAGCCACACAGCAACGCTGCAGTGTTTTAGGGCAGAAAAGAAGAATCCTGCATCCAGTGTAAGCTGCAGGGAGTATTTGGAAGGGAGAATGTAATTACCCACATTGGAAATGGGCCAGGCGCGGCGCTTTGGGGGAAGAGGCCTTCAGGACCTCCACTTTCCAGCCCACCTGGAAGATGGGGCCTCCTTTCAGCCAGCAGCCGGGGACAGCAGCCTGCTTCCTGCTGACTTAGGAGAAGCCCCCAGGCGCTGCTTCCTTCATAGATTCCCCATCAGACCCTTTGCAGGGTCATTGACAGTCTCCTTTCCAAGGACTGGCCCTGGCTCAGCCGGGAAGATCTGACAGCGTCCCAAGGAGCTGCCTTGCACACAACAGTTTGGGTTTAACATATAATCAAATCAGAGTGACAGCAGGTGGAAACAGTCGTCTGTTGCCGCAGGAGCTGTCCTTGAGTTCAGGAACAAAGATGACAAGAAAGACAGTGTGGATTTGCACGTGTGCACTCACGCCCACGTCCGTGGGGAAAAAATAACCAGGACTTTACCACAGTCATTTATTGAATCTTACAAGGGAATGAGTAGGGAGACTTTCTTCTGCATTCTAACAAAGAATTTAATCCCAAGATTTTTTATTTCTTTTTAAGAGATGAAACAGCCAAGGGTGCTAAATTCCTGTGACCTGAGTGGCTTTTAAGGTCAGTGGTAAAGAAATGAGTAGCTGATTTTCCTTCTCCTTCGTGTGCTCCTTGGGAAGGCTTCTGTGCAAAATCCTAGAGTCGGCATTGCTGCTCCTGGCCACACTGGTTCTCAAGCTTTAGGACATGTGATTTAACAAGGCCCATGATTGGAGGAGCACCTCACTTGTCCAGTCCCGGGAGTTAGGTACTCCTCATAAATTATATTTCAAGCAAGCAAAGCTTTTCCTTCAAAGGCTACAATATAAAAAGAGAAGTAGAGATACTTAAAAAAAATAGAAACCTTTTTAAATAGCATACAAGCTTATTGAACATTTATAGAATATAATTTAGCCTTTTATTAATGATTCAAATTCTGGACTTGGAGTTAGGGGACCTGAATTTTAGCTTTGGCTTTACAAGTTAGTTTATCTCTCTGAGCCTTGATAATTCCCCATACTCTGTCCCCTGGAGAGTGGTGGCAAGGGAAGAAACACTATTTCTCATTTTAAAGCCACAGGCATTGGACTAGCTGCTTTCTGAGGGAACCCCCACATTTAGATTTGTGATGACTGTATTTCATTATATAGTGATGCCCTCAGGGTCTAAGGGTGCTTATTTGCCCTCACTAAATGGTCCCATGTGCTTTGTAGTTCTGACACTGCCCCCTGAATGTGAGCTGTCCCCTCATGTGATTGCCAATGTGCCTGGGAAAACAATTCATTTCCTGCCCTATTCTACTTGTAGCATTTTATATACATAGTCTGAGTGAGAATGCAGGAGTGATCTTTCCTACAGAATAGAGTGAGGTGTGTAGGTCTCGTCACAAGAAGCTGCTGCTGGGAGGCATTTGTCACTTCTGAGTTTGTGACTGTGACAGAGGCCCCAGAAGGCTGGCTTCCAGTTAAGCGAGGTGCTGTATTACATGAGTAGATTTGAATATACTCCCGGTCACAGTCCATTCACTTAAAAGAGTAGAAGTATTTGTGAAAAAAAAAAATTGCCTATAAAGCATATTTCCAAGTTTTACTCTTCCATATTAATTTTCATTATAAACTTGGAAATGTGTTTCTAGGGAGAATTTTTGGCCCTAAGACATAATAAAATCATACTGCAGAATGCAGCAGACCTTGTAAAAGCACATATTCAAGGGAAAATTCTAATTTTACAGCACACTTTTGTGTGCAGCTTGCGTGCCTTACTTAGAGCAGTGAGGGTGTTTCGGTTTGGCACAGCTGCTCAAAAAGTCTCAAAGAAACTCACCGCTTCCCTGATTTGGAGAATCAGACTGTAGCTCTCGTCCCCCGGCCCAGAAAAAGCGGCTAACGAACAGCTGCAGCAGACGCCCTGGCCCTTTTTGAGTCGTTGAGCTCCTAACAACAGCTTTAGGAAGGCTGCTGGCCTTAAGCAGCACCTGGGCTGCCCAGGCTGGAGCACACCCCAATGCAGCAGGAAGGGAAAGGAACAGAGAAGCTGCAGCCCCAGAGGGCCCCCCTGCGGTGATGGGCTGCCCCATGACGCAGCCCTGGTGACACCGCTGAGTGGGGTCCCCAGCAGGGCTTTCCAGGTAATGTCCATTGAACTAATTTTTTCACTTACAATTTCCATAATGTATGTTCCTTACTTGAAGAAAAAAAAAAGCTTTATGCAAACGTCTGGCTTGTAAAACAAGGTAAAATAGAGATAGCTGTTTGCATTATAAAAGGATGATTCTGCTTCACAAAAAATTCACATTACATTTGGACTTCGTTTTTTTGTTAAATATATTTTTATTGATTTCAGAGAGGAAGGGAGAGTGAGAGTGAGATAGAAACGTCAGCGATGAGAGAGAACCATTGATCAGCTGCCTCCTGCACGCCCCCAACTGGGGATGGAGCCTGCAACCTGGGCATGTGCCCTGACTGGGAATCGAACTGTGACCTCCTGGTTCATAAGTCAACACTGTCCGGGCTACATTTGGATTTTTTGAATCATGAGACAAATCTGCCTCTCAGATTTCACCCTCTTAATTCATTTTTCCTTTGCACATTTTTAGAGAGAAAGAATGCATGTCAACTCACACATGTTGGGATCCAAATTTTCCCAATTACCAGTAGTTAAGCCTTTTCCTAACCCTCCCATCTTCCCCTTCTGGAAGCCACAACTGGGGTTTATCTCCATGTGGCTTCTTAAAGAGCTATGTTCCTTTTGTCTGGGCACTCATGATATGAATTTTATAGGTTGTCTAATGTTGAAATGCTCAACTGAGATTTCAGAGTCTGGGAGGTCCCTGCTCAAAAAGCCAGTGCAAAGGAGCCTGTAGCTCCCACTTTTATCCTGTTCCACCTACCTAGTGTGATGTTGATGATTCAGCAAAAAGCAGAGCCTCTTTCTTCCCCATAATTCCCTTGCTTCTTTCTCTCCCCAGTAAGAAAGTGGCGTGTAAAAAGTGCCCTGGGAGCCTTGGGCCAGTGGCAGATTGAGGTGGGAGAGCCAGCACCCCACGGAGCAGGGAACCTGGGGCCTGAACTCATCAAGGAAAGCAATGCCAATGTATGTTTATCTATCAGGTGTCTTTGGGAGGGGAGCTGAGTGGGGAGTGGGCTCCCAGCCCTTGAAGAAAGGGACCATGTCTTGTTCACCTCTTCATCTCCAGTGTGCCCACCTGGGCACAGTGCTCTAGAAATGTTTGCCCGAATGAATACCCAAAAGGTTTTTGACGTGGTCCTCCCAGGGCAAGGGCTTAAGGCCTGGCATGTCACAGTGATAGAAGCATCAGAGGGAGCTGAGAAGAGCTGAGGGTCTCCCATTGTGTCTGTAGGCAGAGATTTGTAGGGGGCGGGGGCCATCCCTTCCCACCCTCCTCAAGAACAGTCCTGGGGTTGGACTTCCTTCTGCAGCCCATCTTCATGCGCAAGGACACCAAGACGTGTTTCCAGTGGCGGATTCGAAACCTCCCCTACCCTAAGGATGTCTATAGTGTCTGTGTGGACCAGACGGAGCGCTGTGTTGTTGTCAGAACAACCAACAAAAAGTAAGCAGCGTGGTTGACAGTGGCCTGCCTATGTTTGAGCAGAGGGGGTGGGGTAGGGTTGGACCTGGGTTAGGGCTCAGACTGCTCCTTACCCTGGGGCGGGGAGGGCAGAGAAGCCTCTTTCTTCAGCTGAGGGAGGGAAGGAGGGAAGGAGGAGGGCTTCACTAAAACCCCAGTAGGCAATGAATGCGCAAGGGTTTCCTCTCTTCAGGACCAGCTGTGATAATGTCATCAGCTCCATCACGGCAGGGAAACTAAACAAGTGTCTGGTCCAATACCTGGCATATATTGGGGCTCAATAAATATTTTTTGCATGAATGAGGTGAGGGAATCACCTGGTTATTAACTTGTGATCTCAGGTGCTTCTGTTGTAAGGTTATTGTGACCTTGACCTCTGGATCCATGGGCTGGATCTAGTCCATTTTCTCAGTTGTATTTTTGAAGTTGTTGTCGGAGGCAGCAATTTCCGGTGTTTACCTATGCCGCCATCTTGGTTTCTTCCTAGTTCATTTTCTCAGATGTTGTGGTGCCAGCCCCCCCCCCCCTCGTATCCCTCAGGTCCACAGGCCCACAGGGAAGCAGCGTGGTTCCTGGGCTCCCCCAGTGCAGCCCTGGGTCCTGCCTATTTCTTTGGATCCCCCCAAACCCCCAGCCCATCACGTTGGCAGGGTTAAGGGGACAGGGAAGGGGTGGAGATGAATGAATTAATTTCAGGATTATTGCTGTACATGCAGCCAGTAGCCGCTGCAGTGGGCCTTGTCTATAAATATAAAGTCATAATAATAAGGGTTTGCGTTTATAAAGCACTTTGAAGCCCTCAGACAAAAGGCACTTTATTCCCGTTATTGTTCTCATCATTAACAGGAGTCAGTGCCTAAAGTGGAATTTAGCAATTTCAGACAACAGAGCAATTGCCTTTAGGAAAACAAACTCCATACTTCAGCAAGCATTCCCTGGCGTAGGAGGCCTCGGGTCCAAACTGGGAACAAAAGTGCTTCTGATAGCACTTGAATCTGCAGCCCAGCAGTTTGTGGAGCTGGCTGCTGCCTCCCTTTTGTCCCCCAGAGGTCACTGTCGAATACAGATATCGGGCGGAAATGTGATTACCAGGGAATGAGAGCAGAGAGGCTAGCTGGCTCACCAAAAAATTCATCCGAGGGCAGATCCTCTGGGTCCCCTCTCCTGTGCGTATGCAGCCGTAGGTGGCGCTGTTGGCCAGGAGCTCCATGGCTAGAGGCCCACTTCTGGGTTCAAGGAAGGGAGGACATTTTTGAACTGATGGGTGAGGCCAGGTGGAGTAGTGCCTCCAAAGGGGCGGGGCCAGGGATTGGAGGGAAGATGAGTTTGTCAGTGCTCACTTTGGAGCCAACACTAACCATTGGCTCCAGTGGCCCAGCCTGGCTCAGCCCAGCCTTCCTCAGGCCCCTCTGCTGGGAGGCAGGCGAGAGGGAGCGCTAAACCCTTAATCCTGAGCTTACTGGCATTTTCAACTTCTACCTGGAGTAGTAAAATACCCTATACCTTTTTTTACAACTAATTAAACAGAACTTAATGGCTGTTTCTTTGAGCAATGTTTAAACTTCTCAGAATACTTTCCTTAAAATCTGTTCTCTGATTATCATATCGTCTGGAGATTGGCAGGGTACATATTTTTATTCTTGTGTTATATGTTAACGATTATGTAAGTGTATCGGCAAAATCAGCTTAATAGGCTGACTTGCCAGAAGGTACATTTAGGCCTGGTCTCAATGCCCAGGCACCTGCAGATTCCACTGCACCAGGGCATTACTCTCTGATTTTACTTCTTCACTCACCGGGAGATTCTGTGCCTGCCCCAGTTCTAATATTCTGGAATGTGGTTACTAATGAAACTCAGGCTTCCTTTGTCCATACCTGCCTTGTCCCTGAAGAACTGGGCTGGCCACTTTTCTGGAAGGAATTGATTCCAGTGTATCATGTCCTTGGCCAGGTATTGGTGAGGGAAGGAAGAAAGTGCTTTTCCAGGACCCCAGTGCAGCACCGTCTGTTCCTGTTAAGGGAGTTTGTGCAGAAAGGTTCTTAGCCTAGAAGCTGGCAGCTGTAAGTGGAATGAGCCCGGGTGCTGGAATAGGAGGATGTCGGCTTAAATCTGGCCTCTGCCACGTATTAGTTGTAGTATTTGGGGCAAGGTTTCCTCATCCATCACAGGTGAATACTCATGCCTACCTCACAGATCAGAAAATTTGATGAAAACGTGTACGTACAAATGGCCAGCCTTAAGCAGGTCCTCAACAATTCTTTGGAAATTCGAATGTGAAGGGAATTTGGCTGATTTGACATCGGTGATACTAACACTGTAGAAAGTGTTAATAGACATTGCTAGAAAAAGGATTCTGTGCTCAAATATGTTTAGGAAACTCTGGAATAAACAACTTCTTCTTCAGTAGGACTTTTGAGAGCCTTTAGTATGTGAATGTATATTGAGACTCTCTAGGAGGGGCTACTATAGGCAGGGACGAACAGTGCCCAGAGCCTTGATGTGTAAGAAAGAAAGAAAGAAAGAAAGATTTGCCTACTGATTTTCTATGGACTGGACTGGCTGGAGGCTTCTCTTGACTGTTCTGACCAACCCTGCACACAGTTGTACAGGGTGCCTCCTGGAGGTGTGTGGCGCATGGCCCATGTGACTGTCCACAGTGGCCCTGTCCTCTAGTGTCTCTCTGAAGACCTGACCTGTGCCCTTTCTCAGTTCACTGCAAGGGCGAATGAGTGGGGAAAAGACTGGGAATGGGGAAGGTGACACAGTGGGAAGAGAGTGATGGGGTGTGGTAGGTCATTTCTGAAATAGCCAAAAAGGAGCTGTCCTTTTGGCACACATTGAAGAAAGTTGGCCTATTCCAGCCTGTTGGACTGGCACCTGCAGGCTTCAGATTTATCTAGGGCAGCTCCTTTATTTGAGGAGGAAGAAACCGAGGCTCAAAGTTAAATGGCCTGCCCTCCTGAGAGCCTTTGCTCCCACTTGTCTTTTGAACACTTTTGAGATTCAGAAAGAAAAACCACCATGTGTTAGAAAGAGTGCTGTGGAGACCTGCAGGGTGGCTGGATTCCTGGGGAGCCCACCTCCCATACCTGCCCCCTCCTTGGACAGGTGCAGGCAACTTCTACCAGGTCGTCTGTTACTTGGGAGTGAGAATGTGGAAAGATGGATGGGGGATTATCACTTGTTTTTAGATTGTCTCCCTTTACCAGTTTTGTGACTTGGGCCTCGGTTTCCTCTTCTGTAAAAGAGGATTAGAGAGGTAGTAACCACCCTGAGAGGGTTGTGTTGAGGAATCAGTGTGTAGAACAGTGCCTGGCACAGATTGAGTATTAATGTTACCTCTCAGTGTGTGGCTGAGACTGAGAACAATGAAGGGAGATGAAAATGGGGAGGAGTGTTGGGGCGTCTGCAAAAAGCCCAGGAACCACCTGCTATAAGAGTTTGACTTTGAACAGAAATACAGCATGGTCTCCTCAGGCAGCAGCACGGCCTTGTTTCTTCTTCATCCTTAAAATCCGGAGGCTTACAGCTCAAGGCCTGGGACACAGTTGATGCCTAAGAAATGTTTGCTGCCCGAGGCTGAGTATTTTGGCTTCTGCAGAAGTACAGTGGGTCTCTCTCTAGTCCAGGTGCTTGTGAGAAAGTCAAGTGCAGTTCCTCTGAAGGCAAACCCCAAGGCCAGGGAATGGGGGCGGGGGCTGCTCCTTGAGGAGAGATGCCCCATACTCCCCTGAACACCGCCCATCAGGAGCTTCTAAGGAAAATTGTTTAACTTCAACCAATAAACTAAACCTATTAGAACAGACTCAAAACAAAGCTGAGTCTCCAGGCCCACTGCTTCCAGTCCCTTCATCTCGTGGAAGATGGTGGGTATAGGACAGAGGCGGCAGCCACACACCTCAGGCTCCCTTAGACCTTGTTGCCATTGCCATGAGGCCAAGCTCCAGGATCCTTTACTATCCCAGTGCCCCAGCCTGGGGAGTGTGGCTTGAGAGTGCCCCTGTCCCACGGGCGGGTCCCGGTGCTGGTCTACAGGGCAAAGCCTTACACAGGCCCCGGGGGTTCGGCTGGGCTGCATGTGCCTGCGCTGCTTCTCTCCCAGTTGTTTCTGTGTATATTTGCAAGGAAGATGTTAACACTTCCTAACAAGCCTTTGTGTTCATCTAATCTTTGCTGTTTAACCTTTGACTCCCCCCTATTATCAGTGTCTGCCACCTTTGCTGGCCAGACCAAGGGCCCCAGGAAAAGACCTCAGCCCGGGCTGGCTAGGAAGAGGATGAGGCCGGCATTCCACTCCAGTTTGCAGGCAGATGGATCACCTTTCCCTGGGGCAGAGCTTTGGAAAATAAAGCAAGCCTATGGTGCCATTAGGACCTCCCAGCCCCCACTCCTTTTGAACTGTCAGCCTTTAAGTAAACATTCTTTTCCTGCCATGGGTCCCAGCACCTTGGTGGGGAGTGGGGAACCTGGGAGGAGAGGGGCCCTGAAGAGCCTCTGCTAAACTAAGGGATTTGGGCAGGGAGAGTGGGGCAGAAGTGCTACATTGATGTCAACTCTCTGAGTCCCCAGGGCATCAGGGCTTTTGAAGTGGACTCAAGGTAGCTGTCACCACAAGGACCAGGCTCCTCTGAAGTATTAAAAGCCCCATCCTCCCCAGGCCCCTCACTTGAGTGTGTTTGTACCTGCCTGCAGCGTTTCCCTTCCCAACCCACACATCCTGGCAGCAGCGGTGATGCTGTGCCTGGGTGACAGGTCTGGCAGCCACTGACCAGAGCCTAGCTGCACTTCCAAGGAAGATGCCAAAAGGGCCTATTGCTAGCAATGAGTAGGCCATTCTTTGTGCTCTGGTGTGATAAGCACCAGACCAGGAGCAAGGAACGTCAGTCCTGACTTGTGCCAGCAAAGTAGTCCAGGGCCCCAGAGATACAGCTTCCCTGATAGCTCGATGGTGTGTCCTGTCGGGGAGCGTTCTGTGATGTACTTCCCTCTCTGGCCTGCAAGTAGAGTCAGCTAATAAGGCCTGAAGAGACCCCAACAAAGGAAAAGGTAGCTGAGGTCTTCATTGGAAGCCCCATGTATATGGCAACTGTCAGCTTTGGGGGATCTCCCTAGATGTCTATTCTGTCCCTGGTTAGCGCACATGTCCCATTTTCTTGGGATCCAGAGGGCTGGCTTGCTCGAGCTATCTGCTTATCTGTCCTGGGTAGTCCTAAACCTCAAGTATGAGTCACTAATCCCTGGTTAGTCGAGGAATCATGACCAGTTCTGCTCTTCTGCTGGACTGGCCATAAGGCCTTTCATTCTTTTCTTTCCAAGGCCACTAAGCTCCAAAATACTGGTGTTCCAGGGGCTTCCTTTCTTCCTCTCTGGCTGTTGAAAGTGCGAGAGAACGTTGTAGAAGCTTAGCAGTACAGGGCCCGATGCCCAATTGTTGGAGTCACCTTGTTGGGTGTCCCCATGACCTCTTTTTGTCCCCACAGGTACTACAAGAAGTTCTCCATTACTGATCTGGACAGATACCAGCTACCTCTGGATGATTCTTTGCTGAGCTTTGCTTATGCCAACTGCACTCTGATCATTTCCGTAAGATTCACCCAGACACTTAGCCACTGCGTCAGGGAGGGCCTCCCTCCTTCCCTGCCCACTTCCCATTCCATAGGAGTCCCCGGCACTAGCCTCAACCCGTGGGGTGTACTAGCTGCAGAACAGGCCTCTCTGTGTCAGCATGGGGAGAGCAGGGTGGGGCCCAGGGAGGAATCTGACAGCTAGAAGAGGACAGGGGTGATGGGGAGGGATGGAAATCAGACTGGGGTTCTGGTTCAAGGCCTGCTCCTCCTTAGCCATGTGACTTTGAGCAAATCATTCAACCCTGTAGGCCTGTTTCCTCATCTTTGAACAAAGGGATCAAAAGGGGTCCTGAGTGTGTGTGTGAGTATGTGTGTGTGAAGTGGAGGGGAGGCGGAATGTGACGGAATGATGTCCTCTTTCTGGCCCCATCTATAGTACCAGAAGCCAAAGGAAGTCCTGGTGGCCGAGTCAGAGCTGCAGAAGGAGCTGAAGAAGGTGAAGATGGCCCACAGCAGCGATGGGGACTGTAAAACCCAGTAGTGGACCCTGAGCCTGCACCTCCGGCATGGAGGGTGAGTGAGCTCTCCTGTCACCTGTAAGACTCACAGCCTGGGCCTTTCCGGCACTGGGGCAGCCTCCTCTCTTCCAGCAGCTCTACAAGCTCTGTAAGAACTGGCCCCGGGGCACTCCTGGCCCCTGCATCATGGTGGACTCTCCTGAGTAAAGTTCTGAGTTACTGCGGGAACACTGCCCTCTTGTCCACTTCTGTCTGCTCCTATTCCCAGGGAAGGAGCTGGTGGCGACACTCCCTTCTCTATCTTAGGGACCTTCCACGGCCAAAGGGGTGGGTGGTCAATGAGAGGGTTTCCTGAAAAAAAGAAAACCTTTGTTCTTTGGGACACTGAGCCATGAGGCTGGTCTTACTCTTTCCCAGCATGTACATCCCAAAATTTGAATCTGTTGTCCCCTCTCCCTTGGGCCTCCCCAGCAAGTGAGGAACCAGATCTTTGAACAATTAAGCTTTATTTTTACAAAAATGAATATTGTAGCGTGTCTCAACAGCTGGCCTGAGGCTGGGCTGGCTGAGAGCTCACTCAGAACTTCTGGGTTTCCTTTATCCTTTCTTGGTTTCAAAGGGAGACCAGGCCATAGTGCCCCAGGAATGAGTCCCCAGCCCCAAAAACCTGTCCAAAGGTGGGGTCTGACTGAGGAGGCGGGGGCTGGTGCCAGCAGGGGTATTGGCAGCCACACCCTCCTTCCAGGGAAAGGGCAGAGAGGGACCACTGGGAAGGCCGGAGCACCTCACCTCACCTAAGCTATCATGGCTCTAAGGGGTGAGGTGCAGGCGGGGGTGCCTCTCTAGGCCAGATCCTTGCTCTGGCGGATAGGAAAGCAAGGCCCGGTGGGTTCAGCTTCACTCTCCCAAAGCAGCAGGTCTCTTCTCTCCAACTGGTTCTTGGGAGGGGCTGTACCACTGGGTAATCTGAGTCCCAGGAGTCAGCAGCCTTTGGCTTAAGTGCTCAAGCACTGTGGTTGCAGGTCTGGGAGCACAGGCACGGGTGGGGAGCATTATCACTGCACCCTCCAAGCAGGAGAGGTCCCTGAGTAGCTAGCTTCCCTGGCCCACAGCTAGGGTGGCCCTGCCTGTCATGGGTTTTGAAAGTCCAGGACGTGAAGGTTGTAAGACAGCGCCGCATAGAGATGCTTGGTGGTGAAGCGCAGGCAATACACCGGACTGCTCAGGGGTGTCGACGTCAGCGGGAAGGCCTGCAAGGGAAGGCACAAGAATGACAAGGGTGGCCCGAGTAGGAGATAGGGGAGCCCAAACCCAGGACTCCCAGGCCCAGTGCAATGGGTCAGGTGCACTGTGGGCTTCCTCCACCACTCCAGGCACACCCACTCTCAGGTGCAGCCCATAAACATGAGTCCTGGCTTCCGGGAGGTGTGCGTGAGGTAGGCGGGATGCTTACGTGTAGGCAGGCCCTTTGGCGCCGGTCCCACAGCCGTACAACCCCGTAGTAGGAGGAACCTGTGGCCAGCAAGTGGTTCCCATCCGTCTGCAAGCAGTACAGGGTGCTGTCGTGGGGCTCCTCCCACTCCATGACACACTTCCTGTCCAGGAAGAGGCGATGCAGGGGAGCTCAGGATGCCCTCCCTCCACCCCACTTCCCCATTCTGGCTGGGAGAGAGAGGCTGAATCACCAAATTCTTTAAAAAGCAGCCTTAATGGGGGAAAGCCTCCTCAGTAAAGGTCTCTTTCTTATCAAACTCCAGACCCCAGGGTAGCTTATGCCCTCATTTGTGCTTCACATGGCTGACTACATGTCACAGGACTGTAAGGCCTTAGAAAGGTAGAAAGGCTGGGACAATGCTGAGGGATGGCACCCTCACAGCTCCCACGGCTCTGATCAGGTCCTGGCGGCTACGATCTCCCAGGCCTCGGGGCCCAAACTGCCAAGGTGGGAAGTCCAAGCTTGATCTGACCTTGCCGGCTGCTCCCTACCGGTCCCTGACATGGAGTCTGTACCTCCTCCCACCGAGACTGACCTAGGTCTCCCACCACCCGTCCTGCCCAGCACACGCACCTGACACTGGCTCGGAGGTCCCAGTATCGAACGTAGGTGTCATAGCCACAGGACAGGAGCGTGAAAGGGGACTCATACATGAGGTCCAGCACCCCAGCCCCTGGGGGAAAGTCACTGCCCAGGTGTGTCATCAGCTGCCCACTGGGGAGAAAGAGGGGCAGAGGATGAGCCACTATCCCACCTTGGCCCACACAGATTATTTGAACCTCCAGATGGCTTCAGTCCCTAAGGAAATGCAGCTCTCCTTCCTGAGCTAGAATTAGACTCCCTTAGGAAGGGGGGCTGAGGGAGGAGATGCCCCAGACTCCCTTCCCTCCCACCCCAGCCCCTCCCCCCAGCTAAAGGCCTCAATCAATCACCATCAGCCCCTCCATCACACCTGCACACTGGCCACCCGCCACCCAGCCTCTCCTCCGCAGGAGGATGAATGGGCCTTGCTGAAGGGGTTGCCCCTCACCACACACACACACACACACACACACACACACACACACACACACACACACGGTTACTTTATACTCCTTGATCCTGCAGGTCATGCAGTTCTGAGCTGCCTGAGTCCAATGCCTTAATTCCCGCCTGTAATCTGGGGCTCAAACCTCATTGGGGATAAAGACCACACAAAGGGAGAAGGGGAGTCCCAGGAGATGTTAAAACAAGTAAACACCTTTGTGTCTGGGGACAGAAATCGCTGAGAAAGCAGCTTAGCGGGCTGGTCCCTGGTGTTCCTGGCCAGGCTGGCCCCCAGCCCGGGGCGAGCACGCCTCTGTGATCACAGCCCCCAGCCTGCTGGGCTCCAGCTTGCTCCCCCACCCTCGCCCCTCCCGGTGGCCAAGAGCAGATTACTGAGAAGAACAATTTCTTTGTGACTGTGTAATTCCCTCCGTGACCGCGGCAGTGGGCAGACCCCTTGCCTGATGCCAGACCCCTAGCAACCATGTAGGGGGGCCTCCTGGCCCTAGCAACTACCCCTCAACATCAAGTGCACCCGCTAATCCCTATGGCTAGGGGACGGGTAGGAGCAGTGAGTCTGCAGAATGACTGGGGGAAATGAGGGAGAAGAGGGGCACCCTCCAGACCCCATTCCTCAGCTTCAACCAAAAGATGCTGGGCTCTCCTCCATGACGGGAAAAACAAGGCCTTGGACACTTCCCAGGGACTCACAGGTAAGAGGCTGGGCATGGAGTGGGAGGACGTCGTGGTCGCACCAGCCCAGCTTTGGCCCAAACAGTGTTAATCAAAGGGCTTAAGGCTGATGGGGCTGCCAGTCACATGTGTGAATGTGGCCCTCAGCTCTAGTCCTTCCACCTCACACAGATGCTGCCCCTCTTCATTCCTTCTCCCCACTGGAGCCACCATCTTCCCTGAAGGCTGAAGGAGTAAAGGAGGAGGCTGTGGGCTCCTCTCTGCCCACTCTGCCTTTCCCCTGGAGCCCTGGACAGAGACATGACCCCCAGCAAGGTACACGGTTGCTGTCTGGTGGGGGGCTAGGCCCTAAGTCAGCACCCTGTCCCCCAGCCTCCTGGGGAGGAACACAGGAGAAGCCTGTGTCGAGAGAGGGATGTCGGGGAGAATCCCGAGAAGGATCAGGCAGAAAGCCCTCTCTCCAGATCAGCGTCTCCTAGAGATCACGGACCGGGGCTCCCAGGAAGCCCTTCACTAGCCATGATTCCCCCAGGCTGGGCAGGCTGGAGCCCTGCAAGCGGCTGGTCTCTCTCACGGGCACACGTGCAGATTTGTGCACCGGGTAGGGGCTGTTTTGCTCCACAGTCCTCCCTCTCCTTCCAGATTGGGGGCCCTGCCCCTCCATTAGCGAGGCCTTCAGGAATGACTGAGGAGCTCTCCCCTTTAATCTGTAGGAGTAATTTCATGTTTGTCTGTTTGAAATAGAAGATGAAAGGCAGTAGGGTTGGGGGTGTGAAGCCCAGCATGGCTCTACCTGCCCACCGCTGGTCCCAGGGTTGAAAGGGAAGGAGAGCTGGGCATCCATGGCTAGGCAGGGTCAGCAGCATAAAGGCCACACCCAGACCAAGTTGCCAACCTGGGCCCAAGCCCCCGCCTCTGAGCCACCACTGGAAAGTGTCAGCCACAACATCTGCAATAAGAAACACAGAACTTGCCCAAGCTGGTTTGGCTCAATGGATAGAGCGTCAGCCTGTGGTGTGAAGGGTCCCAGGTTGGATTCTGGTCAGGGGCACATGCCCAGGTTGCAGGCTCAGCCCTCAGTAAGGGATGTGCAAGAGGCAGCCAATCAATGATTCTCTCTCATCATTGATGTTTCAGTCTCTCCCTCTCCCTTCTTCTCTGAAATCAATAAAAATATATTTTTTTTTAAAAAAAGAAAAGAAACACAGAACTCTGCCCTGCGGGGGAGACCCAAGAGCAAGAGTGAGCTCAGCGCCTGGGGCCAGGACAAGTCCTTGAAAGCCCGTCTGCCAGCCCAGCCTGGCCGGGCTGAGGAGTTTTCTTTCTGGTGCACGCTTCTCCGATTCTCTGTAACGGCCACACACACTTTAAATGGGCCAATAAAAAGATACAATGTCTCTTGTCTCTGGGCCTGGACCCTCAAGGCTCTGTTGTGCAGTGCTCGTGAGGTTAAGTTCGGAGCATAAACGGACACACCGCGCTCTGGGAAATGGCCAGTCTCTTCCAATAGCGGCCCAGCAGTACCATAGGAGCCCTGCTGGGGTTTTGATTTGGGAAAACAAACAGAAATGGCACCGTGGGCCCTTTGCGGCCCCTACCCCAGGACCAATTTAACTAGAAAACTCTAGCTTATCTGCTGTGGTGGAGGGAGAGAGACCAGCTGACAATAACCCCACACTTTGGGGGGAAGGAGGACAAAGCAAGCTGTCTGTCTTGTCAGCCCCTCCTCCGAGCTCCTTTTCTTACTGCAAGTGTATTTTTGTAAAAAACAAAAAAACAAAAAAACGATTAGATTGCAATTTGTATAACATGGTGACCCCCAAATTCAGACGTTTCACCCCTTTTCTCTGGAAAGAATGTTAAGAATGCCTCTGGGCCTATCACTGTGGGGGGTGGGAGGGGTGCATTGCCTTGGCTGTGGAACAACTTGTGTGGGAGCAGGGCTGCTGCTCAGAGCCCAGGCCAAGACAGGAGCAAGGGCAGGGTCTGTCACTATAGAAGGCCAGACAAAAAGTCCAT